CAAATATGGTGAAATATTAGTAACTATTAAATATTGATCATGGGTATATGAGGCTCCTTAAATTTTTCCCTCTACTTTTTTTTATGTTTGAAAATTTTCATAATTAACAAGTTTTTAAAAAACCAATAAAGTAAAAAAAAAAAAAATGCAGTCACCGAGTGCTCCAACCCCCACCCACTGGCTCTGGCGGCTAGTGGCGTGGAGCTGGGTGCAGACAGGCTGCGCGTCCCAATCTTGAGCGTGCTCTACCCGTGCCCTCCGGATGCCACCAGCCCGTCATCAGATACTCACAAGGAGGCTCTCAAACTCTTTTGTTCTTTTATTTGTGGTTATTGTGTTTTTAAAAACAGAAATGGAAGCAGACATCATTAATCTCTTTAACAACCGGAATGCAGAGGAACAACGTCTGGACCCTCATGAATTTGAGTGCCACCAGCTGGGGTCAGCTGCACTGGGACAACCAGTGTCTGCGGAGGCCAGTGGGCTCTCTCCGTCATGGCTGAGGCTGGCAGGGAAGGTTTTCAGTGGCAGCCAGTTACTTAAACTTAAAAAAGAACACCACGTTGAAAGCCTCAGGTCTTCCTTTCTTTGGGGAGAAGAGGTACTTGTAAAGTGGTAGGGAGGGAGGAAAACCGTAGACATTCTCTTACCCGGCCTCCTCTGAACCTCCCCCCTCTGAACCATTCCCTCAAAAATACACACGGCCCCACACCCAGGGCACCCAGAAAGATCACGGCTTGTAGGCGTTTTTCTAGTTCTCCCCCAACAGTTTTGCCTCTACCAACGGCATCGTCTGCTTATCAAGGGTTGCTTTTGCTTGTTCCAAAACTTTTGTGCCTCTTAGTCTTATAGTTACGATTAAAGAATGCAAACCAATAAAACTTAAATGTAGAACTGCCGCCAGACAACACACACATGTCATAAAAAAGTGAACACAGCTTGGACCTACATCAAAAATTTGGCAACTGAATGAACTTTTTTATGTCCTCAAATAAAATATGTAAGATGTTTAAGGTGTATATTTTAATTTAAGTGATTCTCAACTTGCACCAATGATGTTAATAAACCAATAAACTTGATAGTGTTTGTGAGAGGTTTTCCACAATAGTGATTCTCTGTTCAGATTCGAGTGAAAATAATCGGAAACCAGATCATT